GGGGGGGGGGGGGGGTGCAGGAGGCAACCAGTCGATATGCCTCTTGTACATCGATGTTTCTCTCTCTCCTGCCCTCCCTCCCTCCCTTCCATTCTCTCTGAAAAGCAATGGAAAACAAATATCCTCAAGTGAGGATTAAAAAAAAATTAATTTATAATTTGCTTTTTCTTGTATACATCAGTTACTAGACATTTATACAATTACTGAAAACTTATTTTTCAATAGTCGAATAAGAAATCCTCCATACAAAGAAAAGCCAATATATAATCTTACTCTGGTACCTTTGGAGCTAAAGCTTAAATAACATTTATACGCTTCATCTACCCCCCCACCAAAAAATCTCATCTCTACGGTTATCAAAATTATATGCCACAAAGTCTTTTTTTTTTTTATTATTATTGGTTCAGTCAATAAATATTAATTAAGCATTTATATGTTCCAAACACTGTTCTAGGTGCTAGGAATACAACAGTGAACAAAAATAACAGTCTCTATCATTGAGCGAATTTATATTCTAGTGTGTACAGCAAGTTAAAAACATAAGCAACTAAACAGAAAATATAATGTCTAAGAGGTACAAAGGAAAATAAAGCAGGAAAAGGGGATAGACAAAGTTGTACCACGGTCCCAAGAGTCTTGGCTCCTGGTGTATACACATCTTCTTTTAGTTTTTCAAACAGCTACTGCTGTGATTTAATTAAGGTTCCAAATTAGTTGACCTTAAGATTGGGAGATTACTCTGGTGGGTTTGACCTAATCAAATGATTCCTGGAAAGCAGAGTTTTCGCTAACTGGTTGCAGAAGAGGAAGGAGACCATATGGCAGGGAATGCTGTCAGCCTCTAAGAGCTGAAAGCCAGGAAGGAAATAGGGACCTCAATCCTACAAAGGCAAGGAACTGAATTCTGCCAACAACAATGAGCTGAGAAGAGAATTTTCCCTTAGAGCCTCTGGATGAGAACTCAGCCTGGCTAACCCTTGATTTCAGCCTTGGGATACTCTGAGCCTAGAACCCAGCCATACTGTGCCAAACTTCTGACCTAGAGAACTGTGAGTTAATGGATGGGTGGTGTTTTAACTTGCTAAGTTTGTGGTAATTTGTTATGCAGCAAGTAAAAAAACACACACTAATATAGTTATTTAAGTCTAAGGGGTCAGAGACAGCTTTCCTAAAGAGATGATGTTTGAACTGAAACATAAAGGAAATAATGGAATTAGACATTTTATTACATGGGGGAAGAATGGTCTAGGAAATAGGAATTTTGGAGCAACAGTCTTGGGTGGTAGTCTGTCTGGCATGTTCAATGAACAACAAGAGGGCCTAGGGTGCCTGGAACCAAGTGAGCAAGGAGAAGTAAAGTCGGAGGAGTAGTCCAAGGTAGATCATCAGGGTCATTTAGGTGGTGGTAGCTAATCTCCAAAGAGGGTCCCAAACAATTCCATTCCTCCCTGAACACGAATGCTGTTTCTTCCATCAGAAGGTCAAGTTTGTCCTAGCCTTTGAATCTATGGGTGTTGACTAATAGAATGTAGAGAACGTGACATTCTGGGACTGCTGAGCCCCGGCAGCTTCTGCTCACTACTTCTTAAAGCCTTGAGCCATCAGGCTCACCCTGGCTGGGTTGGTCAGTTGGCTGGAGCATCGTCCCTACATCAAAAGATTGTAGGTTAGATTCCCAGTTAGGGTGCTTACAGGAGGCAACTGATTGATGTCTCTTTCTCTCACACTCTCCCCACTTCCTCTCTCTAAAGTCAATAAAAACATATTTTAAAAAAAAAGAAATTCAGGCCCTGGCAGGTGTAACTCAGTTGTCTGAGCATCAACTCATGCACTGAAAGGTCGTCAGTTCAACTCCCGGTCAGGGAACATGCCCAGGTTGTGGGTTTGGTGCCAGTTGAGGTGCATACCTGGAGGCAACCAATGTTTCTCTCTCTTTCCCCCCCTCTCTCTTCCCCCCTCTCTAAAAAACAAACAAACATATATATATATATATACATAAAAACAAAAAGTACGTGCGCGTGTGTGTGTGTATATACACAAACAAAAAAACCATTAAAATAAAATTCTGGCTCCCCCTGGAAAGACTGGAGGACAAGAAAATATGCAGAGGTCGCATGGAGAAGCACCTAGAAGCCTAAGAGTGGCATGATCTGATACCTTTTAAAAGGATCTATGCTATTGGAGGACAGACTGTAGAGGACATGAACGAAAATAAGGAGACTAATTAAGAAGACCGCTTCACAACAGTCCATAGAAGAGACAATAATCTTGTGAACTAGAGTGGCAGCTGTAGAGGTGATGAGAAATAATTGGGATTCAACATATATTTTGAAGGCAAAATCAACTGAATTTGCTGATAGGCTGGATGTGGGGTATGAGACAAAAAAGGAGACAAGGATCATACCCCAGTTTGAAGCTGGGGAACACTAGGAGAAGATTCAGAAATCAACCAAAACTTTTACTACTTTGAAGAAAGTTTGTTTTCTTTAGAGGATAACCATAAAGTGGTACAACTGGGTGCTTTTCAAAGTAATTTGATGGATCTTCAGCATATTTGCCTGAGGCAATTCCATTTTGGTAAGGAGACCCATGTTACTATGGAGGTCATACCTGCCTTGACATATATTAAATGTGTCATAAAGCTATATCAATTTTGGATACGTAATTTCTGCTATTTAAGGCACAGGCTTGTCTTAATTTCTAAATGTTAAATCCTACACGCAGACTTCTTTAAAAATGATTCCTGATACACAGCTGACAGTCTATTTTCTTTTTCCTTCTTTTTAATATATCTTTATTGATTTCAGAGAGAGGAAGGGAGAGGAAGAGACAGAAATAGAAACATCAATGATGAGAGAGTCACTGATCGGCTGCAGCCTGCAACCCGGGCATGTGCCCTGACCGGGATTAGAACACCGATCTCCTAGGTCGATGTTCAACTGCTGAGCCACACCCGGCTAGGCTGAAAGTCTGTTTTCAAGAATGACATTAGCCATGTTTTCTAGCATACATGCCACTGTTGTCTATGACATAAACTAAAAATAATAAGAACCTGTTGGACACAGGTCTTAGGGGACTTCAGGGCTGCTTTTTGCGTAGGTTATTTGTTTGCATCTCAGAAAAGGAAAACTCGTGAAATACGGAGAAGATTTAGAGAGCTAACAAATGGGTGGGTTTTATAAGCTTGACCAAATGCCACTTCTCATCCCAACAACCAAAACCACCTACTCCACCATGTTTATATATTTGTCCTTTGTCTTGTAAAAGGTGGAAATGGACCGGAGTTGGGTGCTACCCAGAATACTGTTTTCTGACTACAGAACAGAAATGTCAGTAACAAAGAATAATCAGCAGGGTACTGAAATTATTCTGTTTATACGTTAAACAAACCAGATGTTTCTATAATCATGGAGAGTCATGCTTTGATCAGTGGCTATCAGTCTATTAACAGAAAAAAAGACCTAAGGACTTGTGATACTTGGAATAAATTTAACAACATATGTGTAATACCTATAAACTGAAACAATAAACATTGCTACGGGAAATTTAAAAAGACTGAAATAAATGGAGAGATACATTATATTCACAAATTGGACTCAATATCGTTAAGATGTTCACTTTCTATCCCAGCAGGGTGTGGCTCAGTGGTTGAGTGTCGACCTAGGGTCCAGGCAATCGGGGTTCAATTCCCAGTCAGGGCACATGCCCGGGTTGCGGGCTCGATCCCCAGTTGGGGGGCGTGCAGGAGACGGCCGATCAATGACTCTCTCATCATTGATGTTTCTCTCTCTCTCCCCCTCTCCCTTCCTCTCTCTGAAATCAATAAAAACATTAAAGAAAAAAAATCAGTGGTAGCCTGGGGCTGAATGTGGGAGTAGGACAGAAAGAGTAAGGGCAGAAGGGAAGTTTACGGGCCAATGAAATGTTCTATGGCTCGACTGTTATACAGGTGTATACATGTGCCAAAATTCATCAAACTGTACACTTACAATGGGTGTATTTTATTACATGTAAGTTACCTTAATAAAATGGATTTTAAAAACTTCTAAGGATACAGTATTCCTAAGGATAAATGCCACTGTAATAATAATTACATTTGTAACTATTATATTTGTTGAGAACTCTGGAGATAAAGGCCTTTGTTATCAACTTTCTTCCCTCTATCATTCTCACATACAGATTTTTCTACTAATGTATGAAGTAAATGCAGCAAAATTTCAATTTGAGAACCTTTAAAAATCCACAAGGGTACAGTGA